CATTGTCATAGAGTTCCAATATAGAGGAAATAATGCATTCCTTTGCACCTTTGGGTGTGAGACAGTCACGATAGCACTCTTAGCTCCATGTTGGGCTGCGGGCGCTACTGAGTGGTATTAGAGCCTAGTTAGATTTGTAGGCCTAAATAATACATACAAACTCAAGCTCCGACAACATTATCAACAAGTAAGTGTTTAAATTGCCAAATATAAACTATTTATCTAATGTTTGGCAAATGATTGATGATTATGTGTTTATGTTTATTTCATGAGTTATATGACATGATTAATGTTTGTTGGATAAGTTTGATATTGATGTGTGAATTATGGCATTCATGTGAATGAATGGAAATAAGGACGAGTATGGCAAAGGAAAGGAAGAAGGGAAGCTATCGTGGTGTAGAAACAAACATAAGAGTTGAAAATCAAAAAGAGAATGATGGGTTTAGGGATAATGGGGTTTTAGCCGAGTAGATGCTTAAGTTGTTGTGGCGGTAACAAGAGATGATGCAGCGAGTAAGAATAGAGACATGATGAGTAAATAAGAGTCCTATTAGCCATACAATAACTACTACTAGTAGCAAGGCCTCTGTAGAGGGTTGACATGTTAAGAGATTTAGGAAGTTCAACTTGATTTTTTTATAAGCACAATTCAAAAAGATCTTTAATAAGAAATTCTTCTCCAACAATATGAATTCAAAAAAAAAATTAAGAGTTCATGAAGGTGGAACTGGGGAACATGTTAGTGGCTGAAAATGTCCAAAGATTTGAGCATGGTTACTGATTTATAACCTTTATTTTAGGAGATGTTGCACGGAAGAGAGGTCACTTTTTGAGGGACCCGAAACACGAGGTACATAGTCTAGTATGTGTGTTTATAGATAGTTATAATGACATGGTTGCTAAGGCACTAGAAATAAAAAGAGACCAAAAAGGTAAACACGATTACAATGAGCCAAGAGGCCGGTAATTGCAAAAACATTCGACAAGCGAGTTATTGAACAAAATCAGTTTATGAAGGTATGATCAAATGGTGCTAAGAAAGCAAACATTTTCGAAGGGCGACCAAAGGTAGAAACACAAGACAAGCTGACTCGCTTCAAGTGTAGTTGAAAATATGTAAGAAATTATTAACATGATACTAATATTTACTACTTTTGTAATGAGGTCTGGGCATTTGGCAAGGGATTGTCCTAAAGAAAAGCCCATACCAAAAGTACCGGGAAGATGCATATGATGATGCAAGGAGAAGTTAAGGAAGACTTACGACATGAGAAAGTTGAACAAAGTAAATTTTGAGAAAATAATTTTTATAAGGAGGAGAGGATGTAATATCCGGATTTAATTTTTATACTTTATGTGCATATTTATTTTGTTAAATATGTTTATTTCATGCTTATGCTATTTATATAAATGTTTTATTTGTAAAATTAATATTTGCTAAGTGTTATGTGTGAATTGCGAATTAATTAACAAGTGAAAGACTTAGAAAATATAGTTTAAATAAATGATTCTCATGCATGTATAACTTAGGATTAAAATAGAAACATAAACATGTGTTAATCTAGGAAACAATATTTTGATTAGGTTTTTTACCTAAATTAAAATCTCTAAGTGTAAAAGAGCTACCTTAGGATAAGTAGCTTATCAAGGATATTTGGACCAAAAATTTTGGCCAAAAAGGAAGAAAATTTTGATAGGATTTTCATTTGATATTTCACTTTTCTCCATCCATCTTTGAGAGAGATTGGACACTAAGAGATATAGAAAGCAAGAAAGACCAAATCACAAGAGAGAAAGCAAGAGAGAACCAAAATTGTCCAAGGGAAACAAGGTTGGTCGAAAGGAGGAGAAAATTATCGATAAAGAAGGGGGTTGTTTTGGCTAAAACTTTAGGCAAAGAAGACAAGTGCGATTTTTGATGGGTTTAAAGATAATTTTATCTTCAATCAAACTTAAGGTAACTATACCTTCAACTTACCATAAGACTTAGAGCAATTATGTGTTAAGTTAGAGATTTGTATTCTTATGAAACCAAGCGTTTTTTACTAATCTATTTGATTGAATTATGTACAATGGATGCTAGGGTTGTAAAATTAATAAATGATTGACTAGTGTGAGGTTATGGAACTTACTTAAAGTTGATTGAACGTATTTAATGATGCGTTCATGTAAACTTAGAAATTCTAGAATTTTGGTTAATTATTAAATGGAAACTTTGTATTATGATGTGATTGGGTAATCAATTAATTGAAGATTGGCCATTATATTAATGATGGATATGTATTTAATTATTGATTTAGCATGGGTAATGTGGTGTTCATGTAAGATTTGAAAATTTTTAGTTTTGAGATATGTAACTAATTATTGGATTAAACTTAATTGATAAATATTCATGGCTATGGTGATTGGCATGCGTGAAATGAGATTGGTTTAAGTGTGTTGGGTGACTTTGGATGAATTTGGCTTTGACTTGTTGATTTGGTAATGGTATTGTTGCTTGATATAATTCGACATTAGCTTTGTTAAATGAATGGGTGTGGTTGCTCGTGGTACTTGTCATTGGGAATGGTTTCGGATTAGTAGTCCACGGATTCACTTGTTATTGCATAGTGATGATGTAATAATGATAGGCATGTTTTCGTGATAGATTCGGATTTAGTGTTGTTGTTACTTGATTTTTGCTTGATAATTTATCATTAAGTGTATGATTTACTATTAAGATATACTTGATGATGAGTGGATGAATGTGTGGATGCTTAATGAAATTGGATTCCCTTATGAAATTGGTTAGTTTTATTGATATGGGCTGACCTAGCTTGTGTAAAGAATTCGACCATACTTGGTCAATGGATTGATTTTATGTGTTTACATAAATTAAACACTTGAGGAAGGTTGCTTGTGATTCGGTTATAGGCTTGTTAATTAAAGGTTTGAGGAAACTTAGTAGTCTTGGCTTTGCCTTATGCTTGCTTGGACTTGTTGAGATTATGGATTGTATTGATAATAGTTGATTATGTTATGGTTGTTTAGTAGATTTGGCTTATTTGATGGACTTTGCTTGCTTATGGTTGTTTGGTTGAATAATTAAAAGGTTGTGTTAATGAGAGATGATTCGACCTAGGTAGGTTTAATAGAAGATTGTATATTTATGTCATGTGAGGAATTCGATTTATATCCATGAAATTGTTTGATATTGTTATGGCTTGATGAAATTCAGATTTGAAGATTGATTGGAATTGTTTGGATTGTATTCATGGTTAGTTTAGGCTTGATTATATTCGGCCTTGTCATGACATGTAGAATGTACATGAATGACTCAATGCCGGATGTTCATATTCATGTGTATGCTTTATGTTGCATTCTAATTGTAATCACACCATGAAATGGTTCTTGCCATGATTTCAAACATTCAAAAAATTACATGTGCATGTTTTCAAGATAGGTTTGCAAAGGAAATGATCTGTTGTATACTCTTTGTAAGACATACAAAAGGACATGGTTTTATGAAGACACCGACATGGTTGGACATGTTCAAGAGAGAGAAGATAAGTGATTAACCATTATGAGGTTCATTGAATTGAATATGTTTAGAGCCTTTATGGCTAAAGATGGTTGAAATTATATATATTTTGTAGGGAGAAATTGAATCCAAATTACGTCTGCGTTAGATTACATATATTTTTTAATTGATCTAGCGATAAATATGAGTTTATATATTTGTATTTAATTTTTTTGATTGAGTAATCATTGACGCTTGGTTGGTGCGCTCCCTTCATTGCACACTTTATTGATATGGAGTAATACTTTTAATTGATAATTTTTTGCAGACAAGGGTGGGTCAATAATACAAGTGATGTCCCCTTTCTTGGTTAGTTTGGCACTAGTTAACTGCCCACGCTATGCTGCAAATCGAGTAAAACATGTAAAAAATAATTTTAATTTGATAGTTTGTACTATATTAAAGGTTTGCTAAAATATATTAAATTAAAGATAAAAAAAATCTAATTTTATAATTAATCCTCCTTTATGCTTTTCATAAATTTTGAAGTTAAAAAACATGATTTGTTATTTTTTATGTATTGATTTTTAAACAAGAACTTGCAATAATCTAAAAGAATATTTCATCCAAAATTTTAAAAAATAGCTTAATTTTTTTCATAAGATTGTATCGAAAAAAATAAAGCAATAATTAATATAAAAACTTATATAAAATTAACAACCAAATTATTTTTATTTTTATTTAATTGTGATGAGAAGATTATTTTTAAAAAAAAATATGCACATTTGATATGTGTTTGTGTGTTTATTCTAAATTATGAAAATATATCATATATATATTTTATCATTGTAGTCTGTGTGAAAAAAAAATAATGATTGATTTTCTATAATTTTTGCACCCAATTCAATAATAAAAAAATTAAAAAAAGGTAAAAAAAACATAAGCAAAATAATAATAATTAAAAAGCATTTCAAGCCACACACATATATATAGATAGATATATGTTGTTGCCCTAGATTACAGGGGCAATCAAGTCACAAAGCACACTACTCGTGCATCTATATCCAAATTAAGTGAATGGTGAAAAATAATAAATCTTTTAGTTTTCTTTATAATATCATCGTGCATTCATTCATTTATTACATTTGTTAAATATTATACAGCAATCATCTTTGTTGATCAAGTCTTAAACCAAAGGAATTTTTTTCAAAGCAACCAAATCAAAGCAAAAAATCTTAAATTGACAATAACCAAAACATTAATTATATACCAAAAGGCACATGGCAATATACTTCAGAGACATACATCATATTTGCTACTGGACATCGTTGCAAAACATTATTAACAGTTACATTGCCATGCGCCTCTCAAAAGGCGTACCTTGTTTGGTTGTTTATGATTGACTTTTTCCCCATGGTCTCCCACCCATCATTACTCTCTTCTCCGATGCTCTTGTGTGATCAAATTAAAGACAAAAAAATAATGTGGTGAACTTGAGTTAGCTGATCTGATGAGTCAAAGCATCAAAAAATCCAGTAACCAACCTTTCTATTCCACTAGTTCCGGCTATAATCATGCTGCTCTCTGCCTTCATTTCTTTCATACCCTTCATTCACAGTCTATGTAATCAATGAGTACATAAACATCAAATTAAATAAAATATAAGGCAGATTAAACGCATAATGTTTTCCTATAACATCACTATTGTTTTCCTAGCCATAATTCTTTTACTGTTGCAATAAGAATTGGCTTGTATGGAAAAGGCATGGCATCCTATGAATGATCTTTCCACATAGATTATTCTTCTTGCTTTTCGCTCATTAATTAAATTCACCATTCACCATCATTTTCATATTCGATATTGAGGGTAACTTAACCATCTAAATAGCCTTCTTCAAACTTAAAAAAACGAAATTAGTATATATAAAAAAGGGTAAAATCCAAGTAAAAAAAAACAAAGACCAAACCTTTTGGGGTCGCCTTGAAGGTCTAGAATCCTCAGTCTGCCACTCCTCATTTCTTCTTCCTTCACTCTGGCAATAGTGAAGAAAAAACTAATAAAAAATCATCCGATCTCAAGCAAAACACACATTTCAATTGTTCAATTTCAAAATTCAAATAAAAAAAAGAAGAAGAAAAACATGTGATTCCCCACCGATTGGTCCGATTATAAAATTGCCAACGGTTATTGCTCTGACGACCGTCATCGTTATCTTGCTCCTCATCCGATAAGACCAGTGCATTTTAGCAACAAAACATTAATTAAAAAAAAAAAAAAGAGAATATTAGAACGAAATGAAGGACAGAAAGAGACACAGTGCTGATTACCTGAGCCCAGGATGATCTAGATCGTTCATTGTGGGATTCATCATCTTTTTGACCGAGATGGTCGAGCACCACATCCATAAGGCCCTTGATCAGACTATCCATTATCTCAGTTTGTGTTCTTTTGACTTAGAGAGAGAGAGAGAGATGTTATAGGAAGGAGGGAGGGAGCGAGTAAGTGTGAGTGTGAGATCTGTTAGATTTTCCCAGGCCCCTACACTTGAAACATCATTGGCTGGGGAAGTAAAAAAAACACAACAGAAAAGAAAGATGCGCCAAATCCAAACCAGGAGCATTAAATGCCACGAGAAAGAAGGAAAGGAAATGACGAAAAAAGGGCAGCAACAGCCCAAAAGAAAAAAAAACATGTGCAAATAAGTAAAAACACAAACCACCCATGGCATAAAAGAAATTAAATCCAAAAAATAAGGGCGTTAGGCCCAACCGAAAACCTGTTTTCCATTTCAGGGCGGGGAGAGACCATTTTAAACTAATTAAAACCAATAAAGCAAGCTGAGGTGGAAAAAATTAAAAACAGAACAGTAGAAGGAATGGTAATTTAGAGTTTTATCCACAGTCATACGAGCAAACAGTTCAATTAATCAAAAATCGAATAAAATCGAACTGAATTATGAAATTGGATTTGGTTTTAAATGTAAAATTATACAATATAAAATCGAATCGAAAAAATCAAAATTATTTCGATTCGATTCGGTTTTTAGAAAAAAAATTTCGATTTCGATTGAAAACTAAAATAAATAGTAAAAGATTTTCTAATTTCTAAATTCCTAACTTTTCAATTTTCATTCTTGCTGAAACTAAAACACGCAGATGGAAAGTAAATTTTGAAGACCATTGAGGTAAGAAAAGAAAGTGACGAGTGTAATTAATTGGGATACGAGTGTGTTTGAATGACAAAATCAATTACATTTGGACTGATTTTCATTAAAGCCTAGTTAAAATCTTCAAGGGCTTTGTGATTGTCTATAAAAAGGATTAATTGATAACAAGATGTTACTTCATTTGCTAGTGGACTAAGTGCTAGTACAAAATATTTCTCCGTAATGATTTTTTTTACAATAAAATATTTTAGTTAAAACCGAAATATTTCGAAACCAAGCCGAAATGATTCGGTTACAAACCAAATTTATCGAATTTATTTCGTTCAATTTTGGTTTTTATTTTTTTTAATTCGATTAACTAAAAATTGAACCGAATCGTATAAAATCGAATCGTTTAATCGAATAATCACCCCTAATCATCTATGTCTAAGTAAACAGTACTTACAACAGTAATCAAATAGTAACTTCCATTATCTTTTAGAGATTTTTGTTAATATTAAAATGAAAAGGTGGTTTTTCAACTCCAAAAGCCCAAAAATCTGATTTCGACTAAAGCAGTAAACTCTATTTGTTAGGAAGGACGGAAATGAAGAACAATGGAGAGAGCATGGAGATTGATCATTCATTTGTTTAAATGGGTAGCAAAAGGAAGGACGGACGACGACCATTCAGTGGATAACCATTACACATCAGTAGAGATGCAAGGAATTCTTTTTTTTTTTTTTTTTTGAGAAAAGGATAGAAGGGATCACTGCCTTGGATCTACATCCAGCTAGCTAATTGAACGGAGGAACAATTCCTCCCCTCCCCGTAAACATCCATCCATCCATCCATCCATACATCTTTCTACTTCCCTTCAAAACAAACGGTGTTAATGAGCGTTTTCCTCGAGGATCACCTCCAGTCTCAGAAATAGCTGTGGGCTCTAAATCCCCCCAGTAGATTTTGTGCTCGCGTCATGAAAAATCAATAATATTAATAATATCATCCAGTTATTTTTTGCGATTGTCACATTTCAATCCAATGCAACCAGACTAGGAAAACCAATATTCTTTCTCAGAAACATTGCTTTGGTGCATCATAGAAGGGCATTCTACAATCTGCTAACGACTCCTAATACTACACAATCAAAATTGAAATATCACCATATTTGGTCCTTACGCTAGCACTCCAATTTCGTTGATATTAACTTCGAAATGTAAAAGCTCCACAATACTAAAAATACATGCAAGCCAAAACAGCTCAACAGTTCATAATATCATGCAAAACTTGAACCACGAGTGATGATTTCATCCACCAAAGATCCACCCAAGTTCACATTCTGTCTTCTCTCCTACGTGGAGCAGAAGTGATGATTTCATCCACTCTAAGAATCATCTCAGCAGCTTCAGTTGCAGAGAGCAGGATGGCCTGCTTAACTTTGAATGCTTCAGAAATGCCAAGCTCTACCATATCTCCTATCTGCAATGATTTAAAAGATGCCAGGAATCAACAAACTGGACCAGCATAATAGATTGGATTTGAAACGATTATTAAATACTCAGCTAGCCGGTTGACCATGGCTGATATAAAGCCTCTTAAAACTTGCATTTACCGAAGTTTTCAATCAAAAGACTTACAGATCCAGAGATCGCATCAATTCCTGCTGTGCACCCCTCCTTGTAGTGCTCTGCCCGGAGCTGAGCTACCAACTCCGCACTGTCTAAACCAGCATTGTCTGCAATGATAGTAGGAATTGCAACGAGTGCCCTTGAGAAAGCTTCAATAGCATGAGACTTCTTCCCAGGAGTTACTCGGGCTAATTCATCGACTTCCTTTGCCATCACCATCTCAGGCCATCCACCTCCAAGTAAAACCCTGCTGTCATTGACAGTCTGAGACAGCACACACAGGGCATCATGCAGAGACCTTTCTGCCTCATCGAGCACATGATGGCTGCAAAAAAATATAAAACACATCAAAAGGTGGCATCTGAGGTGAAGTCAGAACAGATAACCTCCATTCCAAAGTCCCTCAGAGAAACATCTGCATTATATTTCAAGCCTGGGGACACAAACAGCACAAACCAGAGTTGCCACATTAGTAGGACCCATACCGTCAGACTCTACCATTAACAAACACATACATTCCAAAAAAATAGAGGAACATTTGTCCTAATAGCTAAACAGCAAGCTACAGGACATGAATCAATATAAGAAGTGCAAAAGTTCAGCCAAACCCCCAAAGACCCGCAAGTTAACATATTTAGCAGCATTAACTGCTTAATACTTTTCTATAAGCTTGAGAGGAATATTACCTTGCACCTCTCAGTACTATAGTACAAGCCTGGCCCATCTCAACACCAGAAAAGTGAATCAACTTATCCTCACCAATCATAATTTCCTCAATAAGCTTGCAGTGACCAAGCTTAACTGACTCTGGATTATCAAATGTTGATGCAATTTCACCACCAGTCACTAAAGCAAGACGTTCAATTCCATCAAAATCAGCATGCTCAATTGCAAGTACTCCAGCATTTGCAAAGAGTTCTTCAGGGAAATTGTAAATCAACTGCCTGTTAACAAAGCAGTTAATCCCATGGGCTATTATCTTATCCACCTTCTCTTTCATTTTTTGCTTCTCAGCTGCTTCGATTTCAGCAACCCTAGACATTGAATCGACACGAACACGTGCCCCATAGATTTTTACTTTGTCTGTGTCCATTGCAGTATTGGCCACCAAAATCTTTGCATTCTCTATTCGCTTCGGTTGTCCCACACCAATTTTCTTGTCAAGAATAAATCTGAACAAGCAGAAGACCAATTTGATATTAGTGAAAAATTTGTCAGATGCCAATGCATTAATAGAGATGCAAGGCCATCACAGCCAATGTCTGCTAGCTAAACGAGAACTTCGCTTTTCCTTCATCTATCACGAACTACCATTAGCAAACCCAAATAGAAGGATCTACAAGGTTGGCACAGAACTTAAAAAGTACTTTGCAGTGAAAGAGGTAATCAGACAGGAAATTTAAGTTGCAAAGGCATTATGCCTATTCATTTCTTATTATAGGACAAAAAAATATGCACCATGCAGTGAAACTTCAAAAACATGACAAGATTCTTATAAGTAGATGTACCCACCCTTCATCTAAGAAGGAATCAGTCAGTGATCCTCCAGGCTTTTTGATAATCTGAATGGCCTCTAAGTCTGTGCTACCCTGCCATTTCATTTAGCAATTATAAAACCAAACCATAAGGAAAAATGAATACACTTAACATTTGCGTCTCTGAGCTGTTGCTAACACAAATAGTCTGAACAAGTTGAAACAAAATCACAGCATCAAGAAAGTAACTTTGAGGGTGAGATTAAAAAATAAAAAATAAAAAAAATAAAAAAATAAAAAACAACTATGGAACTGCATAGGAGGAAGTATCAGAATACTAGAATAGTCGTTTAAAAACACACACAATAGACAGGCACACCATGCACAATGACAGAAGAAATAAGGTCTTGTGCATGGTCCAAAGAAAAACAAAAGATTCAGCCTAAGGAAAAGAAACACACGTGGCCATACTCCATCTCCCATTAAACAATAAATGGGTCCAAAATAAAACTAAAAACTATAGAATCAATCCAGAGCCCTCCCGGGCTCCCCCCACCCAAACCAAAAAAAAAAAGCCTGGTAAGCTATTATTAAAACCACTGTTCACCTTTAACCTCATAACAGCATCAACAGCCAGTTTTGCAAAATATTCCTTATCCTGTGATAGTATTTTGGAACTCAAAGTAGTCCTTGCAATCTTCATCAAGTCAGCCTTGAATTTCTCTGCATTATTGAATAATTACAGACATCAATGCAAGAAAAAGAATGCTATGGAAAAACTGTCAAAAGCTTGTATAAAATCAATTTCTACACGAATTGCTGCAATTCCTAATGATACAACAATGAATACCTTCATTCTCTTTGTTATCCACAACCTTTTGCAACAAAGCATTGAGGGCACATTCTGCTGCCATGCGGAAACCTGAACAATCAAGGAAACAGTATCAACAAAGCACCACATGCAATAAAAGTTAAACTTTCAAATTCACCATGATTAATTTTAAGTATTGGTTTCTATGTTACCAAAAAAAAAAAAAAAAAAAAACGCACTCTAAAACAAGGTAGGACTGGTAGTTTCCAAACTCAAAAAAATAGATAATTAAATAACACCTTGGCACTCTTTGGGCAGAACTTGTCCAAAATTACAAAAAGGAATTGGTGATCATCAGGAAAATTCCATCCATGAAGGTTATATAAATATGGGAAGTCAAATCCAATTACCAGACTCTAGTTTAGAAAGAAAAGTAAAAACAGCAGAAGGTGACCATTTATGTAATGCATGCAAACCCGTATTACACAGAATGCAGTAAAACAAGGGAAGGATTTTCAAATTTTCAGCAAATCTGAAAAAAATGTGCTCGAGAAGCAGCAATAACAAAAAATAATAATAATAATAAATAAAATAAAATGAAAACGAGAAGAAGGGGGGAAATAGGAACCATTGCAAAGCCAAGCCAGGAGCTTAAAACAAACCTGCTATTATTGTTATGGGGTGAATTTTTGCTGCCAACAGCTTTTCTGCCTCCCTTAAGAGTTCCCCCGCCAAAACAGCTACAGTAGTTGTCCCATCACCAACTTCATCATCTTGAACTTTTGAGATGTCTGAATCATGAATTAAGGGTTGCCACAACAAATGAAGTAGAGCTATATATCTAAGTTCTATTGTCATGTGAAACAATTTGCTGCTATGACTAACTTATAAAGTTCAGGAGAGATGTTTTTGCCCCTACTTGCAGAAAGTTTCTAAATAAACATTACGAAGATTTTTTCTGCAAACACCTTAGTTTTAACGATTCTGAAAAGCAAATTAACAAAACATACTACCCATGTAAGGATACCAACAAGGATTTTAGCAGCTGGGTTGTCAATGTGTAGTGACTTGAGGATGGTGGCCCCATCATTTGTGACTGTGACTTCATGACCTCTGCCTGTTGATTGTAAAATTTTATCCTGAAGAAAAAACGACACAAAACAATGGCAATCGTTATAAAGTAAAACAAGCAATGGTTTATAATTTTTGGTAACACACTCGGTAAAGAAAAAGAAATCTTACCATTCCTTTTGGCCCCAAAGTTGTTTTGACCAAGTCAGCAATTGCCATGCCACCAATAAGCGATGCCTAAGAGAAAAAAAGAAACACAGCTCAAATTACAAACAGGAATTTCAATCCGAAAATCAACCACTGGCACCTAAATGACACAAGAACGACAACAAAGCAGCATTGAAAAGCACAAAGTCTACCACACAGACAGGTAATTCCGCGCAATCTTCAGCGATTCACTATATGCAAATGCTCTCTCATGGCAGCAATGTCACAAGGGAAACATATATACAAAAAAAAAAAAAAATACACTCCAGTAGACGGGAATTACCAATCTGGCACGCTCTCCTTTTTCTTCCATAGCTTCACCTTTAAAAATGTTCTCAGCCTACAATAATCGCCAAGTAAATTACACTAAAAAAATAAACAAATCAAAATTTATAAAAGAGAAAAAAAAACAAAAAAAGAAAGGAATCACTAGTGAGCAACTAGCTTACCGCCATTGTAAAGTTTAAACGAGGGCTCCCTGAATATAGACGCTCAAATTAAAATCTGAAAAGAGAAAAAAATAAACAGCGATCATTAACAAACCCAACAAAAACACTTAAATCAGATCTTAAAATGAACTAATCTCCGAGTTCAGCGAAATAAATAGCGTATCATGTTCCCTAGTTTTCTTTTACGCCACTAAACTCAGTTTTGTAAATTTTTTCGATAATAAAGCAGAAACAGTAACAAAAAGTATCACTAATCGTAACTAACTTGTACCGCCACCAAGTGATCTTCCTTAGACCAGGAGAAGAAAATCATCAACTTGAAGGGTAGAAGTAGAGGCAGATCAGTAAAGTGGAAGAAATTAAGATCCTATAGAGAAGAGTACAGAATTAGGAAGAAAGAAAAACAATCAGACTCGATTCTTTAGTACATAGAGCGAATTGCACAAGCAGGTTTGAATTACATACAAATTTTACAAAGTGGAAACGAAGACAGAGGAAAAGTGAAAAACAGGGGAAGGACGTGAAGGTTCCCGAATTCCTTAAAAGGGCCACTTTAGTAGTGCAGGCCCAGAAAGAAATGCAACAAAGCCCAAAGACCAAAAGACTTACGAAATTTTTTGGTTAATTCTTCACATTATTTTGCACGAATGGAAATTTCAACTTAATATGAAAAAAGAAGGCGCACTTTGTTTCTGCCCAGCTGAGCACTGGATAAGAAAATGTGGCATTCTGAAGAAGGGTGTTTAGGGCAATAGAAAAACAATATCATGAGAATTTAATTCTTGTAAGTAAGTTGCAACTAACGTAATGTAAGAAAAGATGTATTGTATTGAAAACCAAACTAGTAATACGCACTTAATTTCCTCTTTTTAGCTGCTAATATCTTTTATTTACAAATGATTAAAAAAATCAGGATGGTAACAAAATCGAACAAAATAAGTGGAAAAATATTTCCCACTAATCAATAAATTAATAATAAAAACAAAAAAAGCAGCCAACTTTGGCATATTCTCCATCCTTCCATCATGAAATGGTGTATTGGGTGGAGCTTTACGCTATCCCATTACACCACCCATTACCCACCCACCCACCCATCCCCAGATTCCTCCTCCTCCTCCTTATCCTTTCTCCCTTAATCCCTCATTTGTTTCACCTTTTGAAAAATCATTCTCTCCCGTCCTCTTTCTTCTCCTTCTTGTAGTATAAACAGAAGAAGAAGCAAACAAACCCAAATAAAATCTCCCAGGTTTTTCCCTCCATTTCCTTCCCCTCTTATTCACAAAGGAAAGCTTTCCCTTCGTTTCCTTCCTTTCTATTCCTGTCAAATAAAAAGCAGAAGAAAAGAAAAACAGAACCGTTCAAGGTTCCAGATCCGCTTTAAACAAAACTACAGGATAATTCTATTGCTTTTTTTTTTCTAACAAACTGTAAACCCAAAAAAAAAAAAAAAAACACAAATAGAACAGAATCAGTCCAACCCAAAACCCCATCATGGGCAACTTTAGCAGCAGCAACGTTAACAGCCGGAGGAGACACGGCAACCGGCGGAGCCACCCTCCACCGCCACCACCAGCACCCCCACAGCCGGAAATCACGGCCAACCGTTACGTTTTCGCCGCGGCAACACCTTACCCTTCACAATACCCAAATCCTAATACTCCACCATATTACCAGTACCCTGGCTACTATCCACCCCCGCCACGAGCCATGCCTGTGCCTTTACCGGCTCCATATGATCATCACCACCGGGTGGACCACCCGGCGGCTCATTGGGTCGGTGGGAGGTACCCAATGATGCCTCAACCGGCGCCTTATGTAGAGCACCAGAAGGCGGTTACTATAAGGAATGATGTTAATTTGAAGAAGGAGAGTTTGAGGCTTGAACCGGATGAGGAGAATCCAGGGCGCTATCTTGTTGCATTCACGTTTGATGCTACTGTTGCTGGAAGGTAAAGGATAAAGTTTGTTTTACTCTCTCTTTTTTTTTCCTTTTTTTCTTTTTTTGTGCTTTTGTTATTGCATTTGTAGAAAGAAAGTTTTTATTAAAAGGTTATGTTGATCACTGTTTGATAGGAGTACTGGGGTTTGATTGTGGAAGGAGGTTATTCTTTTTAAAGTAATTTGACTTTGAAAGTTTTTGACTTGAGAAAATTTTGAATGAGTACTTGATTTGGTTTTGGCAATTCTATCAGAGGATGGTGAAGTTAAAGAAAGTCTTGATGCTTTGGTTTAACTTCTTACTAGTAGGTCAGTGGAGGATTTAGTATAATTTCTTTTTACATGGTTTGATCACTACTTTGTGATAATCATCTTGATATGGGGGCAATATTCGAAAATCAGTTTTTTTGCTATCATTGTTGAGGATTGTTATTGGAGTGAATTCCTTTTAATAGATTTTCAATTGTAGAAGTTATTCCCTTGATGGAAAGGTAGCAAGTAAGTGCCAACTTGATATTAGGAATGAGCTTATCAGGGATTACATTATTTGCAAGTAAGAATTTTGTGTTCAGCATAGCTGGCGTTTTTAATTGTGTGACAGCTTGAAGGAATTGGTTTAACAAGCCAAAGTTGAAACCTACCCTTTAGTGCAGTGGAGGTTACTTTTGCTAGAATTTATTTTTTTGGGTAAGTTATGGATTCATGGGTATTTCACTATTTCAGAGGATTTTCCTAATCAAAGATCCCTTGGCCTACTTAAGATATCTATCTCGTCTTAGAAATTGGGATTGGTTGCAAAATTGATGAGACAATGAATCTGGGGTTATGACTGAATGACTCTTTAGTGTAAAGATCATCACAAAAGATCCCTTGGAACAGGTGTTTAACTAGGTTTCTTAGCTTGTGCTATGTTTTAAAAGACCGTATGGTGCTTTTGTCTTGATAGGATTTTATCATGACTGATGAACGGAATGGTTTTTTGCTCTTCCAATCCACCTACATAGGAGACATTCTTGGTGCAATGTTAAAATAGATCCCCATCCGTGAAGTTGGGGGTTTGAATCTTGATAGCGTCAATCTCATGCTAAATAATTTTTAAGGGTTGGAAGCTTGTAAACACTCTTTTGGATACCTCTTTGATGGTATGATGTAATTGGACAATGGACCTTTTACTTTGAGTTGTATCCTCATAAAGAAAAAGAAAGTTGCCACCCTTTAAGTGTTCCTAATTCATTTTGTCATAACAAGCTCGCTACTTTTTACTGATTGGATGTAATTTGTAAGTGTTTCCATAGTTTAAATGAAGTGGAGTGAAAGACAGTCCCATTTTTCATATATGTCGCTTTTAGCTGGAAACTATGGTGTACTATAAAAGGAACTAATAGATTAAATGTAGATTAGTTGTGCTTATCGTGACAATTTCCATCTCAAAAGAATGTTCTGTGAAAAAGTCTGGGTAACAATCTCGTAATCATCTTTAAGCATCTAGCTTGATAACTCCTAAACAAAGGGAAATGGTGAATGATTGTGTAGAATGATGAACTGACTTTTTTTAGTTTCAATGTGATCTCTTTGCCCAGAAGTATTTCCTTATTGCTTCTGTTGGTATCATTGTGTGATCTAACTGACATATTGTGGGTGCTTTCTTGGTACTTTCTTTTGCAAGACATGGATAAATGCTGATCCACTCCACGTTTTAGTCAATTCAAATAAGCTTTGTGTTTAGTCATAGAAGTTGGTTTCAAGTTTTGGCTTGTATGCATCAGCAGAATGTCTAGATTATTTTTCCCTCTTCTGCACTTCCTGTTATTAAATATCTGATATTAATTTCTTTCAAAACTCTCATTCCTTTGATCTGCAAACAGCATCACTATCATTTTCTTTGCTAAAGAAGGTGAGGATTGTGTCCTGACACCAACAAAGGCAGACCTTCTTCCACCAGTAACAGTAAATTTCCAACAAGGTCTGGGCCAGAAGTTTAGACAGCCTTCTGGAACAGGGATTGATTTCACCTTGTTTGAGGAGAAAGAGTTGGTAACAGAGGCTGAGGTGGATCCCTATCCTCTAGCAGTAAAGGCAGAGGCATCCCCTGCCAATCAAAATGGAACAGAAGGAAACCAAGCGTCTGGAGCTATGAACTCTCAGATTACACAGGCTGTATTTGAGAAGGAGAAGGGTGAGTACCAAGTGAGGGTAATGAAGCAGTTCCTCTGGGTGGGTGGGATGAGATATGAGCTTCAGGAGATATATGGGATTGGAAATTCAGTTGATGGTGATGTTGATGCGAATGACCCAGGTAAAGAATGTGTCATTTGCCTGTCAGAACCACGGGACACTACTGTTCTTCCTTGCCGACACATGGTAAGCCTATTTCCTATATTTTTCTTTTGCCTCTCTTTCTCTCTAATTCTTTCTCTTTCACCAGGTTGGGGGTAGTTTAGATCATTAAGGGGAAAAACTAGAAAGTAATGCTCTTCACCCACCATTCATATTGTAGGGAATTGTTTTTCAATCAAGGACTATTTATCATTGTGGAAATTCATTTTGTTAAGTTGTGAAGGCTACAGAAACTGTTACCTTCAACATTAAATAGTAACACGCATGAACATGACCCTTTTCCTCCTGTTTGTGTCTATCTCCAATGGTAGGCAATTGCAAAAATGCTGATTAAAAGTCTTGTGAATTCCATATGACGGTACAAGACTGAACAGTCTAGAATGTTGTGCACTATTTGCCTGGTGCATTAAGAATGTCACCAGGGTGAATTTGATCTAATAGGCCAAAATGCCTCTACATGAATTTCCATTTAAGTGGGTATCTAAGCAATCTGAATTTAGAAATCCCGATGATATCTTGCTGGTGACACATTGGAATCCAGTTGATATCTTGCTGGTGACGCATTGGCTGAGTCTCTTTTTGTTTTTGTTTTTTTTTTTTTTTCCCTTTTGTTCACCCTTCTCTTCTCCCGCCTTGCAGTGTATGTGCAGCGGATGTGCAAAGGTTTTGAGGTTCCAAACGAATAGGTGCCCCATTTGCAGACAACCAGTTGACAGGCTTTTAGAGATTAAGGTCAACGATGGGCCTGACGAGTGACGAAAGAGTTGCTGCTGCCACTTGTATGTGTATAATAGTTTATTGATCTTTCTCTGATTCTGTTTTGCTCTTGGCTTCAGTATCTTATTTTCCTTTCAAATTTCCTGCTTCTGTAATAATCAAACGGGAAAATATGTGACATGGCAAGGTTAAAATACTGGCTTTGTGCCAAATATGCAAAGCCAATGCCTTCAGCCTGCATATGCAAGTCCTTGGTGGCAATTTCTCTGAATTTTTAAGAATTCAAAATATAGTATATGTTTGGTCTTTCAACACTACTGGGTTTAGAAAGTCTTCATGAATCTCTACTTTTGAAAGGGCTAAAAAGGAAAAAAGAAGCTTGTGAGTGGACTATGTAGTCAGCGATGTTCGCAGGTAGCATTTTCCAAGTGGGTGGCTGAGATGAGGTCATTATGGTCATCCAAGGGTGGAGTATCATGTTTATTCAATAGAGATCATGAAGTACTTTTTATTTTTTCCTAAACATTAAATAGTTGTAAATTTGAAAAACATAAAAAATTGTTTAGAACGATCCCTTTGTTTTTTTCTTTTTTTTTTTTTTTTGAGAGGCTCAAAATAATCATATGTATTTATCTATTTATTTTCAGTATGATTATTAAAATATTTGCTTATATAATTTTTCAAAATTAACTTATTTTAAATTTTATCTGAATGTACAATGTGTTTAGATTTTGTTTTAATATATTTAATAATGTCTCCCAAGTAAATGAATGTGCAATTCGAAAGATAAATGGTCCAAATCCCCTGAAAAAAAGAAAAAGAAAAAGGAAGCACATTGAATACTGGGTGTATGTATGTATATATATATATATATATAGAGAGAGAGAGAGAGAGAGAGAGAGAGATGAAGTATAGGAGTAATAGTGAATATAAACGCCTGTGATTTTAGATTGTGCGATTAAATATGAATAATTGTCTTTAAAATTTACATGCTAATTCTAATCTTGAATAATAGATATAAAAAAGAATACAAAAAAACCGTGAATCTGGTTTCATAAATTTTTTGGAAAGGATTGCATTGAATTGTTTCATTTGTTCATTCTGCTGTATATGATCACAAGACATTTGCCTGTGGAAGAATAAAGTGACTCGCATAAAACGGTAACAGAGTTATGGGTATTACTGCTAGTATTCCACAATATCTATCAGTAGCCGAACTAGAATTCAACAAATAAATAAATAATTAGTATTAAGGGAACAACAAACAGTTCCACCTTTAAACGCATCGCCAATAGCATCGATATAATGTTTAATCGTTAGCAAAGATTGTCGTTGATGTTGGTTACCAGAATCCAAACGTGAAGGAAAACGACCTGCAAAGCGATCCCCAAATAGGAAGAAAATGACCTGTGAAGCAACGTTGTAAAGCTCCCAATTACATATTTAATAGCAAATCATAATCACATAATCTGATCACTTAATCAATAGCATCACATAATCTAATTAACTAATAGCTTCTCAGAGCATCACATCCTAGGAAAGACCCCCAAATGGCTTCACGGGTCAAAAAGGAAAACATCAGCACGAGTTGCATCTTAAAAAAACACGACAATTTATTCAACAACACGGAAAACAATGGTTGATTATTTAGGTTAAGTGCCCAACCATAAAGCAACTTTAGATGCGTCCACTGCATCCTAACAAGAAACTTGAAACAGATACGACAACATTAGAAAAACAAGCACACAGACAGTTCAAACAAGACTCCGTACTCCATAGTACGTAGGGTTCGACAAACATCAATTGGTGGTTAATCTCCCCACCACTGATGGACAAACACACCGCTCGTTCGAAGGCTCTTGAAGAGGTCCAAGCAGTCTCCCTTCATCCGGCCTTTTTCGTCATCCTCGTCTGAGCAACTGAGGAACAGCTCGTCAATAAAGCATACAGCTCCGCTTTTGAACAAATCAGACAGGAATTTCAGTTCTACCTCCCCTGCTTTCATCTTTAAAACCACAAAGTCAGCATACTGCACTGTTTCTTTAAACCAAGCAAGAAAATCAAACCCTTCATCTCCCACGGATGGATCGAACTCTTCCACATCGGGATTAAGAGCAGCCTCATCTCCGGCAAGGCCTGGATAATAAATGAAGGTAAAACCGGGCTTTTTAACACAAGAAAGCAGGACCGAAGTGTTATGGTCAACAAAATAAACACTGAAGGCCTTGTGATCCACGGGATAAGATGGCAAGAACCAACTTGAAACACTAGAATTCATATGCTCCCCTCCCCCAACCTCGATATAAACTAAACGCTTCCTAGAGGCCACATCAATGAGCTTGGGCAAATAAGCTACGCTTTTCTCATGTTCCACTTGTTTATTCCCTGTGAGGGGTTCTAAATTCTCCAAATGAGGTCTATTATTCATGATAGATGGGCAATCAGCTGGCAGCTGGTACTGCTGAAAGTAGCCAACACTGTAAATTCTTTTCTTGAAAACAACAAGTGTAAACTCATTGACATAACCAACATGGACAATGTTGGAATTCTTCAATAATGATGACACAGGCATGGCAGACCTAATCAGGCTATTGGCGTTCAAACTTTTAGCACCAACAAGCATAGCCCCAATTCCACCAGGCTTAAGTACACGCTCGATCTCGAGCACAACAGTAGCTGGGACCGAAACCTTGTCTAGGTCTCCTGAGAACACAAAATCAAAGGAATTGTCTACATATTCAAGCTCATAAACCATCCTCTTATGCTTAAGAGAGAAAAGGGGGTGTCTGTGAACCCCACAAGCATTAACAAATCCTAATTCTCGCAATGCATAAACTGCAGGAGCCGATCCTTCACCAACACAGAGAGCTTTCGCAGTAGAATCTATCATTTGCATACCCATTAGCTCTCTAGCAACATTAGTAGTCACATTCACATCTTCCTTGCAATCAACTGAGCCCCAGATTGGCTTCAAAAATCGATTCTTTAACAAATTTGAGCCCATAAACATAAAGGGCACATCACATTCATTATACCTCACAGAATCAAGCAACAATCCAGGATCAGACCCAGATAAGATCTGCAACAAAGGAATGATGGAAATAGCCGTGGCGAGCATTAATGCGCGTAGAAGCACACGCCTGGCTATTGATCCACTAAGGATCTGCCATCTCAAGGCCTTCAAATTCATTTTTTTTAACTTTCAACCACAAAAGTGGCACCAAAGATGAAGTTTTTGATCAAACTAGAAGATTTCAGAGAGTTGGTTTCAAAAAGATTGAGACTTTTTTCAAAAAACAAAAAAAGTAATCAAAAGAGAGATATAAGCCAAACTGAGAGAAAGCAAGAGATTTAGCGAGTGCAAAACCTGGAGGAGGTATGATTCCCACCCACGAGGACACCCATTGATTTTTGAAACATTAACCAGACCCTCTTATGAACTCTTGGCTTTGCCTCAAATTCCATCTTTGCTTGATTGAAAAACACCATTCCTTTTGAGATCTCTACATGTTACAATACTACATTCTTTTACATATATCTCTCACACTTTCACTATACAGTGAACAAAAAAAAATATCAAAAAGAAAAACCCAAAATTGACAGGGAAAATGAGAAGACAAACTAGGGTTAGGGCTTAGGTTATGTTAGGGAAAGAAGTGAAGTGAAGACAAGAAAAGAAGGGACTCTGGAGATAATGATATATGGAAACGGAGTAGATCTAGGCATTATCTAGATAGTACAGTGAGAGTTGGGCAATGACGTAATATGTTACGTGTAAGGACGATGAAGCTTCTTCTTAATTGGGTTTGTACACGTGGCGGGATATGATGGGAAGAGAAGTATTATTGCCGACAGAAGCGCGTGGGCTTGGGGCCCGGTTCTTTACTGTATTATCAGTCGAGCAGCAATGACCGATTCGAGGTTTATTTCCATCACATGGTCACCTTACATATCCAACCTAACAAAACAGTAGGTTTTTTTAACTTTCCCATTGTATTACTGAGAGGTGGCTTAATTTTTAAAGGAGTAAACAAGACTATAGAAAGGGTGAACCTTTTCAACAAACTGGACTCTGTAATGGAGTTGATTTAGTATCCTTTAATACTACATGGCTGCACAACATGAGCTCTTTATTTAGCCAAATTATTAATACAATTGAGGGTCAATCAAGGCTCATGAACACGGTAATCCAACCATTCTTTCAACTGGCCATGAATTTCCTCTTCGATCTCATGTGAAGTGGAAGAGGAGGGATGCTCTGTTCATGCCGGAAGAAATTATCAGGATCAGCTTTGGTCTTCACATGTACCAACCTGTAGAAGTTATCCTTGAAGTACCTGATACCAAAAGCACTTCAACGCTTGTGTTTGAGTTTGTGTTCATCCCCAATTCAAGATCCCTGTAATTGGCATATGCTTCCCTTGGAGACTTGGAAACATAAGGTGTCATGTACTTGTAAATCATCCTACTCCAATCTACATGCTTTGCAACATTTTCTTCAGCATCTTGCCACCTGGACCAGTAGAGAATCTTGAACTTGGTACCTTTCCTATGAGGGAAAGGAGTCTGAGATTCTGAAATTTTGCTCATCATTCCACCATAAGGAGTAAATATTAATAGAGGACTCTCTATTTCCAACAACTTTTCCCATAACCCTTCAAGTGCAGTTTCAGGTATGAGTTCTTTGGCATAGTCCGACTTGCCTTTAAAGTAGACCTTGAGCAGGTTCCTTCTTTCAAGTAACACTTCAGGTCGAGTATTATTCGGGAAGCCATCGATGTATAAAGTAGAATTGATCCAGTTTGTTTCGATACAATCTTGTCGTGTCAAACCCAATTCAGGGAAGCTGTGTTCCATTACCTGGAGAAGTCTGTTGGCATCACCAAGAAACAAGCCATTGTAAGATGTAGTGATAGTTCTTTTACCTTCATTACTAGTGTTAGCTGTTTGAATGTAGACTCTGATGAAAAGATCATTGTCTAGTTTATCAGCAACTTGTTGCCATCTATACAGGATCTTAGCAGCACCTTGTTCTACGGTCTTGGCAACAGTAAATACTGTCACAGTGGATGGTACTGGAACCAATTTTACCTTCCACGCAGTGACGATTCCAAAACTGCCACTGCACCTCCTCTAACTGCCCAAAAAAGATCTTCTCCCGTGGCTTTTCGGTCAAGAAGTCTTCCATGAACATCAACTATTCGTGCATCGATGACATTGTCTGCTGCTAGACCATATTTTCTCAACATGGCACCATATGCACCTCCTGAGATGTGCCCGCCCATACCCAAACTTGTGGAAGTACCAGCCGGGAAGCCATGAGTTTTGCTTTTCTCAGATATGCTATAGTAAATAAAGTTCACCATTTGTGGCACCAGCCTGAACCCATGCGCTGTTATTGTCGACGTCAACGCTAATTGAACGAAGCTTCGCTAGGTCTACAACAGTGAAAGGCCTCTCAATTGCGGAAACATAAGAGAGTCCCTCATAGTCATGGCCTCCACTACGAACTCTAAGGTGAATTCCAAGCTGTTTAGAGCAAATAACTACAGCTTGGATGTGAGATTCTTTAAGAGGATTGAAAATAAACTCAGGTTAATTTCGGTGTCGAAGGCAACGTGAACCTGAGGTTTTGAGCTGAAGATTGTAAAATAGTAGTGAATGTAGAGTTTTTTGGGGTATACCATATCGTTGAAAAAGGAAATGATGATTCTGAATTTCTCTCAATACATTTTAAAAACCTATCCTGAATTGGAAGTGAAACTACAAATGGAGATAGGAGTAGGACAGCAATAATCGAAAGAATGGAAGAACTTGAATGCACCATTTTGCCTGCTGGCTTGTTCAGGTATTGAAGCCTTCGTAGACTCTCTTTCATATAGAGAAAGAGCTATGAGAAGATGACCCTGAAATTGGGCCGATCCTAAAGTTATTTTAGAAAATATGAAATTGAAACAGAGACGAATGAATAATATTTTAAGGCATTTCAAGTTTTTTTTTATTACTCCAAGCTTCGACTGTGATTGGAACTTAACCCGAATTGACGCATCCTAATTCTCGAGTAATGTTCACTTGTTCAAAAAAATAATTTACGTTGAATCTATAAAAATTATTAATGAAATCTATTTATTTAACATATGAGATATTCATTCGATCATTAATTTTTTTTTATATATATAAATAAATTTTGTAAAACAATTATATGAAAATAACATTTTGGTAATCTTTCGTTATATTTTTCAACACGTGTCAATTTTGAAACTCGCAGGAACCTTATACGTAATGGCAACTTTGTAAATTCCATACGTTCAGTTTTTTGTTGCTCCTCTTTAGACTGTGTGTGTGTGTGTTTTTTCAACACGTGTCATTTTTGAAACTCACAAGAGCCTTATACGTAATGGCAACTTTATAAATTCACTACGTTCAGGGAGAGGTCGTCATCAAATTTGGTGGCTTCCTTTTAGACTCTGGGTGTAAAGATGAAAATCGTTATTGTTTAACAAAACAGATGGGATGGATGATCGATAGATACAAGTCACAGCATAAAAACTCTTTCAAGAATAAATCCAGTTAGGTAATAATTGATTAACGAATTGATCATCATTATATAAAAATGAGAAACTGCTATTGGATAGGTTTTTTTTAATTTAAATATTTTATAAAAATGATTTAAACTCTCTAACATTTTGCAAATGCGGTAAGCTTACTATCTGTATATATCAAAACTATTGTCTAGTTTAATGAATATGTAATAAGATACAACGAAGAAAAAAAAAAAAGGCTCTCCTCGTGCTATTCTAATAAGTCTTGCTGCTAAATATCCTTAGATTTTGAGCATATTGCATTATTGCCACCGTCTCAAACCTTCTTCTTGCAAGTGGTGATTTAGTGAAGTACCGGCTGAGCGAGGAGAAGGTAGCAAAAATCATTTGAAGAAGGCAAAGAGAAGATGGAGAGCAATTCTCACCTAAATTTTGTAAGTCAAAACAAATCATGTTTTTTTTTCTCATTTTAATTTATTTTTCTCTTTAGAGTGACACATTGTTCTGATCATTTTCCCTTTTTTTTTTTTTTTACTTTTTTTTATGACGTATTTGTCGTGGAAGCAGTGGCTTCTATAATGAGATAATTGTATTATATACACAATGATTTTCCATTGAAATATAAATTTTAATTTTTTTCGTTTAGATATATATTTTTTAAACTGTGAATCAAATATTTTTGTCAATATTTTCGTTAATTGATAACATACATGTTATCCTCGTAACTAAAATTATAATTTTATCTTTTTTCTCGATCGAGTACATAAAATTTTTTTTCTATTTAAAAATATTAATTTTTTTACTTTCATTTATTTCTTTCTTAATTGATGACGTATTTAAATATAAAATTTTAATTTTAATTTTTTTTTTTGAAGAAAACTTTTTAATATATATATATAATTTCAAACCAAACTCAATTAAGTTTATCGATTAAAAAAAAATTCAATTAGGTTTAGGATTAAAAACTAAAAGAAAACACAAATGAATCTTTTTGATGAAAATCTCATGTTTTTTATTCCTTCAACTTTCACGTTCAAAACCTAAATGACTTTTTTTTTTTTTTAATAACAAGCCTAATTGAATTCGAGTTTGGAATTTTATAACTAAAAAATGAACTTCTTTTAATTCTTTGTCAAATTTTAAAATGGTAGAATAATTTGAAATAATGTTCCTTACAACAAAACATGAGAAAAAATATATTTTGGTATTCAAATACGTTATCGGTTTATAAAACAATTGATAAAAGTACTATATTGATAGTTTTAAAAAAAATTGATGTATTTAAACTAAAAAAATTAAAGTTCATATACTCAATTGAAAAAAAAATTATAATTTGATATTTTGATGATAACGGACTTATCATTGATTAACAAAAAAATTAATAAAAATACTTGATTTATAGTTTTAAAAAAATTAATGTACTCAAATAAAAAAAAATTATTGACATAATTTAGAAAAAAATTGAAAATTGGTATATATATAATGCAATTATCTCCTTCTACAGTGCATTCATTGTAAATATCTAAACTTATTATTTGCACCCTATCTTTTCAACAAGCTTTCCAAAAAAAATTCATTTTATCAATTCTATAAATTGAGTAAATATTTTCCATTTTCCATTTCAGCTATTTAAATACAACTTTCCAAA